CATTCCTGACATACATTTAACTATACAATAAACAGGATATAAAAGAAGTATACTTTTCCAGAAAAGGCCTCTTGGCCTGATTTACATAAAGCATGATAACTTTAGGAATGTCAATACTTGGAAATAAAAACATCTGTCATCATCCTAATGTCCAAGAATTTTATATTAAGTTTGGTTATTGTAAAGGCCCAGGACAAAATCCTAGGCCTGCTGAAATCAGTAGCAAAACTCTAATCAACTTTAAGATTAAAGTTTCATCTCTAGTATCATGGTAGCACTGAAGTCTTCTGGATGAGCTTCTCATCACTCAATAGATCTATTTGCAATCTAAACACCTCAGTTCAGAAGAATTTAACTTCTTTCTCATTATACTTTATCATTACAAATATCAGGCAGAAGATCAATTTCTATAAATATTTGTAAATCAAAATCAATACTCTTACATAGTTCTACCAGTTTCTACAAAATGTATTATTTCACAAACTTTTCAGCTCTTGAAATACAATCCAAAACACCTTGAATGCATAAAAGTAAGTCTCTTAAGAGTTTCTGGGATTTAGGAAGAACTTTAATTAAAATATACAAAAGCCAACTTAATCCTCTGGTGCTAGGAGTTAGGATTATCCTACCACTTGCTCCAATGTGCTTTATGTAAAAAATGTTAGGGAAAAGTCTTAATCCTGGCATTGTGACAGGTGACTTATAGGAGTCAACTAGTTTCAACAGCATTAGAAAATAACTTGCAAAATGCAACTGAGGAATGAAGAAAGAGATTATTTTTCAGGTGTTTCAAATGAAACTTGAGCAGAGTGGTTAACAATTTTAGATTTGCTTTTTTATTTTTATTTTTTTTAATGGACAGTAGAATGTCCATTGGCCTTTGGCAATTCAGGCAATGAGAGGCTTCCAGAATTCCTGCCAAAAACCTCTGTTTTTTTCCAGGTTACTCTTTGTGTTTTTAATTACAAAAAGGGAAAAATATTACTACAACTAATTTACACAACTATCTAGTGGTAGGATTTATCTTTTCTAAAGTTATCTGACCCTTTTTCCTATTTCATCTTCGATTTTTCACAGTTGTTTTTTTAAGTTAACTACTAAGAGAAGCACTGAAAACAATAGCCAACCTTTTATAAATAGAACAGCTTTCAAAAGATGCTTAGCTTTACTCAAAATAGCACTTTAATTTTATATAACTAGATGTATGCATAATAAAAGTTTGGAGAGTCTTTAGCAATTACCTAACAACCAGATGACTATTACGCGATTTGTTTTAGCTTTGTATAATCCTGTGGTGTTAACACCTATTGTTCTATACGTTTCTTTAACTAATAGTAATAACAATTAGTTATTCTATGTAAAATGAATTATCTATGACCCTAGAATATAGCAGAGTGTAGAGGAGTACAGGCATGGGATGAGAGCAGAGGCCTTGCAAGTACAGGCACAGGGATTGATACCAGAGGCCCCAGGGCTATGAACAACTTGCCTGTGGTCAGTTACTGGTCACTAAAGGAATGCAGCCTTGGGAGCTGGGCAAAACTGGCTTCAGGGGTAACAAAGAGAGCAAAGGCATATGTAAAACACACCACAGATGACAAATTCAGATGTAATGTGGAATTGCGAGCTGATGAAGAAAGAGCAAGGTGTTGCGCATGTTAGAAAATGTTTAAAAATGACCCCAAGCAGACCTGAGTCTGCTCAGTGAGGAGGAAGAAACCATCAGCATCAACATCACACTACTCCAGATGAAAGACTCTGGATGCTGATGACTTGCTGTAACCCCCACCCCCAGACTGAAACCACTGACCTTAGGAGGGTGAGCATAACACCAGAGAAAGGGGTAGATACTTCTCCTGTCAAAGGATGGGGGTTGCTGATGACTCACTGCTCCGTCACCCTGCTGACTGAAACCATCAACCTTAGGACCCAGAGGGGCAATGGAAGGGTAAGTGTAAAACCAGAGAAAGGAGTAGATGCTATAGAATTTCACAGAATCACAGAATGGTTGACTACAAAGTTTGTGTATATATAATTTTAACTGTATACAATTTTAAAGTATTAGTATCATCATAATTGGACTAACAATAATTCTTTGATTAGACTGTTAAGACTTTAATTAGAATAACAATAAATTCTTTGCTTTGCATATACAGTGTGTTTACTTTTGCCCACAAAAAAAAAGGGTAACAAAAAAGGGAGGGTAACAAATTGGTGGGAATTCAAGCAACCTAGCCTGTAATTGGAATGCAAGAAATTTGTAACAATAGTTTAGGCTAAAGGTAGGTGGTATATTAGACTAGACAGCCTGTCCAGTAAACATGAAAATATGGTCAAGAGAACATGGAAGAATATGGATTATTTTTCTACAGGAAATAAATACTTTAGGTGAACAACTTCTACAGAAAGTAGTGATTAATGAATTTTGGTTAGAACATTAATATATATACTAGCTGAATGTTATATTGCTACAATGGATATTAATATATTTGTTATATTTATAAAAATACATATGTTAGCTGAATGTTCAGCCCTCATAAATAAAATTAAAAAGAGCATTAACGATATTTCCAATAGGTGAGAGATGTATTTGAAATTATCCTGGAAAGCTGGAGGTTTACTTTTAGAAATTAAATTGAAAAAACATACCATATAAATAATGCCTAAGGAAAAATACAAGTGTGCACATATTAGTTTCCTTGGAGTAAGACAAAGATAGCTCAACTTCTAAGCCACAATCTTCAACTCATGAAGAGCTAAGCTAAAGCAGAGCTAAAAAGGAAACCTGACTTTAGGGACTACATCTCTGATATACTTCCCCAAAATGGTCTGACAAGGACAGCTTATAGGAAAGAGATTTCACAATGAGATTATATTTCAGAATGGCAAGTGTATGGTGCCAGACAAGAAATCGTGAAAACCTAAGTATATTTCTCACACCACAATATTTAGGTTTGTTATTACCTTATTTTATTCCCCCCTCCCCCCCTTTTAAGATCCATTTACTATTAATCAGACCTATGTTTGACCCAAAACTGATAGATAATTCAATTATTTAAATATCCTGGTATTTCCTTCCCTGGAAACCATCTAGCAGCAGTATGTCAAAGGCAAATCAGCCTTCCCCTTGGAAGTCTGAGCCATACAGCAGCTCCAGTTGAAAGGCAGGACTATTACCTATTATCTCCCAGGTGAGACTAGTCACTAACTGTGCATTTCTTCTCTTCTATTCAAGTACAAAGGTGCTTTAAGTCTCTTGATTTGTTGTTGTTGTGCCCAAGCTACTGTCTCAGCTAGGAGATAGGACTGTTAGCAATAGTGATCTGTAGTTTAAGTTTACCATTTTTTTTTCCTTTGTAGTGGAACAGAGAAGTAGCACTCCCATAGCTCCTGTTGATCACAACTGAGAATTAGCTACTAGCAGCATCACCTTCAAATTAGCCCAATGACTGTTGCCACTCAACTGAAATTCATGCCTGAAATCTCAGGCCTTGAATTCAGGCCCAGGCCAAACAATGAACACAGACATACCTCTAGTAGCTCTTTGGAAATATTCATGTTGCACAAGTAGGAAAGTTGCATGACTTTCAAATTAAGAGAGGGAATGAAGAAAAATGATCTGTAGCATAAATTCAGTCTACACTATTTGTCAGGAAGTCAAGGACTAGAAGCTTCTATTCAATTAGATGTGATTGATGGAGGGGGTAAAATTGGTACAACTGAACAGAAAAAGCTGACAGTTGACAGCTGATGTAAAAGGACAAAAGATAAATAAGATTTTCCGATTTGAGTAATCAGAAGGGAGAAGGAAACATTTCTGATTCTTAGATTCTCTTAGCTCTGTCTTCTTATAAGAGAATTATTGCACAGATGTAAAAAACAAATTTTTCAGTTTTTAAATAAGATTAAGAAAATTAACAAAACTAGACCATAAAAGGTTACTCCTAATGACGCAAATTATAATATTAAGTCCTTTAATTATCTCTTGTTAAAACATGCTAGAATTCTGAATACTCTAAGATAACTGATACAGATATATATCAAACTTTTCAAATAGATACTATG